ACATAAAGTGAAAGAAGCCAGAGACACTCTGTGATCTACTGATATGAACTGTCCATCATAGGCCAATCTAGACTGACAGGAAAGAAATTTGTGGTTACCAGGGGGAGAGGAAGGGTGAGTGTGGAAATTATGGAAAGAGTAGTAGCTAGAGGGGTGTTGTTCTTTAGAACGAGGAAAGTGTTCTAGAAATAGACAGCAGAGATGACCATTCAACTTGCCATCCACATTAAAGCCACTGAAGTGGACACTTAATGATAATAAACTTCGTGGTATATTAATTAAATCTCAATAAAGCTGTTATTAAAAACAAACAGAGGAGCTGGAGAGAGGGATCAGTGGTTAAGAGCACTGACTGATCTTGAAAAGGACCCAGGTTCAACTCCCAGCAGTCACATGGTGGCTCACAACCACCTGTCAACTCCAGTTCCAGGGGACCTGACGCCCTCTTCTGGGCTCTATGGTCACCTGCATACACGTGGTACACATACAGGCAGGTAGTGAGTGGGCATCCACGGTGAAGGAAGTGTCCTCAAACTGGGCTGCACTGACTTGTTGTGTAGCGATGAATCCACTAAAAATAATCAAACTGCACATAACAGGGGTGGGACTGACACGTAAATCTCACCTAAATTTTTGTAAAAGTTGGGAGAGAAAAAGAACTGGAGTGCTGGGGTGAGGCTCAGCAGTAGAGAACTTGCTTAGCATGTACGAGGCTCTGGATTTAATCTCCGGCATCTCAGAGTGCAAAGATTAAATAAATAGGGATATCTCCCACACTGTGGCCAAAAGAGTAAAGAATGAATACAGTCACTCTAGGAAACTGACAAGGTCTAAGCGAAGCTGCACAGTAGAGGATGTGGCCTGACCTTCAGACGACAGACAGTGTCTATATGGTCACTAAGAAGCAGGACGTTTTCATTCTCACTGGAACTTAGAAATAGGTCGTGTAATCCTGTATAAGTAAGTACTTTCTGGACTAGTCACACACGGAATATAGTCTTCAGAATGAACAAACCACACTCCATGTAACACTCTCAGCACCAGGTGGAGTAGGGCACTAAGCAGGCTAGTCACAAGCACACGAGGACAACACCACTCTCTGGTAGTGGTTACCAGGGGACTCCACATCTGAAAGGGCATGGCGACCATCCTTTGACAGTGGGGATGTTAGCTCCTTGATCTGACTTCTTGTTATTACTCAGGTGCATTTCATTGTGGAAATTCGTCCAGCTGTGCTCACATTTCATGCATATCTCTACAGTTGTGCAGCACTGCACTTCCAGTGAGTTCAAGGCTCTTGTGCTAAATATGCTGCTTTGGACTTCAAACTGAATGCACCTATGGGGTGCATCTGGGGGTCACAGATCTCCTCCCAGAAACTCACTAGCTAGGGAAGATCCACCTGTACCGAAGGAGAGGCTGTGTCCTCTTCTCCTCTCTTCTCTATGAGGAAGATTCTAGACCTGGTTTACATTCTCGCTTCTCCTTTATGCAGTGGCCGAGTACATGTACTTCATTTTTAGACCTGTCTTCTACTCATCTGTCTACTGCGTCAGTATGTGGCAGGAGAGAAGGGTTGGATAAAGAGATAGCAAGACTAACACAGAAGCAGCTGGCAGGAAGCCTGGAGACCTGCGCGCCCCCCCCCCCCCACCAGAGTCACACAGGGAGAGCAGAACATGAGCAAAGAAAGTCACATTTCTGAACATGGAAAGAGATGGGTGCTATGTAAATGACACAAAGAGGGTCAAGGCAATGGGGGCAACACGTTTGGGTCTCAGTGCTGTTCCCTCTTCAGCCCACATCCATTCCAAGGAGTGCCTTTTTCTTCCTTAATTAACAGCCTCCATATCCATCACTATCCCTGTGGCCTGGTCCAATGCTTTGGTCTACAATACAAGAACCTGGAAGTTTCCACATGGACTCAGACCCACGCCTACGACAAGGGTTTTATACCGATTCAGTTATCAAACACTGAGGTAGGAAAGGGAGTGATTTCACTTTTCTACAATGCTGAAAATCCAAACAGGATTGCAGAGTTCTCTCGCTCTCTCCCCCCTCCCCCGCTATCTCCCTCCCTCCCCCACTCTTTCTCTCTCCCTCCCCCACTCTCTCCCTCCCTCCCTCCCCCACTCTTTCTCTCTCCCTCCCCCACTCTCTCCCTCCCTCCCCCACTCTCTCCCTCCCTCCCCCACTCTCTCCCTCCCTCCCCCACTCTCTCCCTCCCTCCCTCCCCCACTCTCTCCCTCCCTCCCCCACTCTCTCTCCCTCCCTCCCTCCCCCACTCTCTTTCTCTCCCTCCCCCACTCTTTCTCTCTCCCTCCCCCACTCTCTTTCTCTCCCTCCCCCACTCTCTCTCTCCCTCCCCCCACTCTCTCCCTCCCTCCCTCCCCCACTCTCTCTCTCCCTCCCCCACTCTCTCTCCCTCCCTCCCCCACTCTCTCTCTCCCCTCCCTCCCCCACTCTCTCCCTCCCTCCCTCCCCCACTCTCTCTCTCCCTCCCCCACTCTCTCCCTCCCTCCCTCCCCCACTCTCTCCCTCCCTCCCTCCCCCACTCTCTCTCTCCCTCCCCCACTCTTTCTCTCTCCCTCCCCCACTCTCTCCCTCCCTCCCCCACTCTCTCTCCCTCCCCCACTCTCTCTCCCTCCCTCCCCCACTCTCTTTCTCTCTCCCTCCCCCACTCTCTCCCTCCCTCCCTCCCCCACTCTCTTTCTCTCCCTCCCCCACCTCTCTCTCTCTCCCTCCCCCACTCTCTCCCTCCCTCCCTCCCCCACTCTCTCTCTCTCCCCTCTTTCTCTCCTTATGATCCCTCTAGAAATAGCAGACATCCTTTTAATAATTACACATTTTAAGAGTTAAGAATGGACATGATCTGCAGTAAGCTTTGGAGAACGAGGAACTGACTGTCCACAGCCCTATTTAAGGCTTGGGCCACGTTCAGTGGAGGGCCTTGTCCACACTGACACTTAAGTGAAGGAAGACCACCCGCCTCTAACTTTCTTAGATGACAGATGCCATACATCCTTCCTGCACAGCTCAGCTGTCACTCACTCAGCCGCTCAGCCCACTTTCCAGGGAAGAGCTTTGTGACTGTGGGGTTCTCAGCATTTCTGAGCTAGCAGATTGCTCTTGATCCAGATTTCACATCCCTTGCATGACCTCTGTACAGATTTCTCACAAAGAGAGAACCCTAAGGAGGTCTCCTTTCCCAAGATTCTCTTGGGAAAAAGCCTTCAAGTCCAGTTATTTTTAGCCAAGTTTAAAAGGTTAGCCCAAGTGAGGATTTTTTAATACCAATCCAACCCTGAGGCATCTCATAGGTTTGTGAGCATCTTAATTGTCCTGCTACTGACAGGAAATGAGCTTGACCTGAATCTCAAGCCTTTCGTGAGCATGCCTGGCCAGAGCAGTGTCCTACACTAAACCACAGACAGACAAGTCAGACCCCTACACATCCCTGCTCCTGCTGCCGATCCTCGTGCTAAGGGCTGAACCCAAGAGTCTTGCTCTGACGTTAGGTGAATGCTCTGCCACAGGCTGCATCCTGCTCTTCCCTGTCTCCTTTCTGCTCCGTTTTAGGTCTAGGAGCTTGGAAAACAGGCTCAGTACTATTATCCAAGTACAGGTGTTGTGGACTATAATCTCATTCTTCTGGACCTGAAAAGCTCATGTGCTAATAATGGGGGTGGGGACATTCTTGGAACAAGCTCCCCCTGTCACTTACCACACCACACAGAACACAGTCTGCTTTTCCTGTTGACAAAGCATGTGAGCTCCTCCTATACCACCTAAACACACAACTCCAAAGGAAGAGCGCACTCGGGTGAGAAGGAGCTGCATCATCACAACAAGGCCAAAATTTCTGTTTCCACCTCTCCCAGGACTAGGGCTTTGATCAGACATACTTCTCCACATGGTTCTGAAGAAGCAACTCATAATTGTAAGTGATTTATAAACAAACAACAACAACAAAAACAAGAGTAAAAGGGAGAGCAAGGGTCCCTGGGGTTGGAACTCATGTTCAGTTCACATGAGAATACAGAAACGGAGTAAGATGCCAGCAAATGAGCTCACATGCTTAGCAGACACCAGCACTAAACTCGTCAACAGGAATGCTGCATGGAGTACTTCAAAGATGCTGGTGGTTCAGCTCAGAGAAAATTCCTGATCTCTACAGAGAAATGCCTGAAAGGTAGGACAGGGCTGGGGACATGGCTCAGTGGGGAGTACTTCAACCTAACAGGCACAGATCCTTGGGCTCCATACTCAGCACTGCATAACCAAGGGCATGGTGGCACATGTCTACAGTTTCAGCCCTGAGGAGCTGGAGGGGGGAAGATGAGGAGTCCAAGGTCACCTCTGCCTGCATAGCAAACTTGAGGCCAGCTTGGGCTATCTGAGACCCTGCCTCAAAAAACCAAACAACAACAATAAAACACACAAGTAAGACAAGAGTTTGATTAAATAAGAGTTTCATTTAGACATTACTAATTAGTTTGGAAGTATGAAATAAAAATAGACAGAGAATGACTGATCTATTCCTGCTAGTCAAAGGGGCAATTTTAAACAATCCAACCAAAATTATCCACATCATTTCTATTTATTGTCTAGACAAATTTCTTTTCACAGAGAAACGTATACTCTTAACAACAAGTCACAATTCTTGGCTGACTTTGAACTGTACCTGTGTGTGTGTGTGTAGAGGTTGACATCAGGTGTCTCCCTCAATTTTTCTCTATATTAGTTTTTGAGACAGGGTCTATCACTGAACCTAGAGCTCACTGATTGGAAATACTGGCTGGTCAATGAGCTCTGGGCATTCTACATGTCTTTGTACCCCACAGCCACTCCCAGAACTAGGTTACAGATGCATGGTACTAAGCCTGGCTTTTATGTGGGTCTGGGGATCCAAATCCATGTCTTCATTCCCTTTATAATTTAAAATCATTTATGATGAGAAACCTTCCTCCTTCAGGCTAGAGGACTCAATCAAAATTTACCTTTAGAGGCTTCTGTCCCTAGTGGGTTGTCCAAGAAGTCGGCTAGGTCATGGTTCCAGGCATCTCGGACAGCGGACTTGGACACCACTCTGTCATTCAGAGCCTGCTGTGGTCGGAAGTTGTTTCTCAGGTACTCTACTGACTTGACATGGTCTTGCTGCTCCGTGGTGAAGATGGAATAAAAAGCCTCAAGCTGAACAAAGAACCAGAGAGAGGAGGAGAGAAACTCAATGAGTAAAGCTATATGATCCAAAGGGTATGGGTGATCAGAACACAAAGTGGCAAGTGGCCAGGCCAAGGCTCATCACCGAGTTACTGCTGTTTGCCTTCCAGAACCACCACCAGGGGCTGCATCTGTCATGACCACTAATTGGGGCTGTTCTTAGCTGCAGGTAGGGTGGGGCTCTCAGACCATGTGCTTTCTGTAGATTTTCCCAGCAATACTTTTAGTACTATGGGAAGAGCACAGACTTCTGACGAGTCCTGGAAGTAAACTGCCTAGGTATGAACTAGAGGCCCTGCACACACGACTTCCCCACACTCTCCTTCCATAAAACGGTAGTAATCATAATAGTGTTTACCTAGTAAGGTTTGAGCAACAGGACCAATGATAAAACATTTCATCCACATAGAGCATTCAAAGTACACACTAACAGCTTAAGAAATAGTACTAACTTAATTCTTATAAACAAGCCTCTGTGGATGTATTACAAATCAAATTCAGCCAAGTCATGACAATGCTCAGTGCTAAATGTGTGGGTAAGTTCAATTGCCCAGTTCTAAACTTACCAGATAGTTGTCTAGTCACAGACAAATGACTCAAGCTCTCTAAAAAACGCAAGCTTCCTTATCAGTGAAATGCCTATAAACGTAGGGTTCTGAGAAGATGGAATCTATGTGGGTCATCCAGACCACAACAGGTGTTTAAAGAAGATCAGCTGCTGTCATGATCACTATGAAGAAACATCTTCCACAAGAACACTGATGAAACTTTTTAAGAAAAAAAAAAATCAGCATCCCACAATCATATCCTGACCATCAAGATGGATTCTTTGTAGCCTGTAGCACTGTGTCATTAAGAAAGGTCATTCTTCTGTGGGTGAGGATGGAGCACTGACTGGCTGTCACAATTGCTCTCATCAGAACACAAAGATAATCTTGTCACCAAAGAAAGGGCAGAAAAGCAGAGGAAACTATTGCAGGCTTCAGGGAGCTAGGGAGCTGGCCATCAATACTAGTATATAAAAACTTTTAAATTTTTATCAATACTATCTGGATTTTTGCAGATTCCGAGTTGGGGGTCATCTTCAGGCCTGGATCAACACTCAGTTCAGACAATGACCCAGAAAATGATCAGCTTGAGGTTTCCTTCCTTTGCATGAGAAAGGGATGCAGTTCTAGAGCGATTCCAGCCAAGTAAAATCATTCACTAGACTGCTGATGCTGTGAAGATATGAACCACTGAGCTGGAAACAATTAAAGGGGCTAAAAGCCCCCCAGCCCACTAGCTTGACATGATGACCAAAATCAGACACACACACACACACACACACACACACACACACACACACAGAGAGAGAGAGAGAGAGAGAGAGAGAGAGAGAGAGAGAGAGAGAGGGAGGGAGGGAGGGAGGGAGGGAGGGAGGGAGGGAGGGAGGGAGGGAGGGAGGGAGGGAGACAGACAGAGAGAGACAGAGAGTGCGCACAGGTTTCCGATTTTCTCAGAGGAAATGACTTCCTAAAACTTTATGAAAGGAATTAACAAAGACCCTCTAGAGATGGTCCAGGTAAAGACCGATCAAAATGATTAAAAGTTGGAGAATAAATCCTGTGAGGAAAATAGAAAGGCCATAAGAGAATTGTTTGGCCTGAAGAAAGGGTGAGGGAGGCACAATTTGATTAAAGGCCTTGTAGAAGATGCTGATCAGCTACTCTCATGTCCACTGAAGGCCAAATAAAAATGGCTTAAATAAAAGCCACAGAAATGTGAGTTGAATAAAGGGAAGGATTTCTTCACATTCCGGGTGGGTTTTTTTGTTGTTGTTGTTTGCTTTTTTTTTTTTTTTTTTTTTTTTTTTTTTTTTAACATGGACTGGGCTGTCACATAGAAGTCAGACAGGAAGTCTTCTGGAAGAGAGTAGTCTGGCCAGAGAGCCATTAAGCTTTGAAGAGCCAAAGAGAAGAACCTGGGATACTCTCAGCAATACAGCGTCACACCTTGTTTATTCTCTAGACTATGTGCTTCCTTCTCGGCTAGCACTTAGTTCTAAAAAGTTTACTTCTGAAGCCTCAGTAAAGAATTAGTCACATAACTGTAAAAAGAGGCAGGTTGTGAATTAAACACAAAAGTGCCTCCGTTTAAATTGCTCCCACAGCTTAATGACACGCTATGGCTTAAAAGCTCAAGATGCTTCCTTGTCATTAACTCAACTCGCCTGGCCGACTTTGAGGGAAGGTTGTGATGGTTCTGAGTGAACTGATGACCTGAATGATATTATATTGTCAACTGGATCATAGTTTCCCTTGACAGCCACACAAAAGGGTTCACACGGGAGGACAGGCTTAGCAGGCTTATCTAACGCCTTGAGGTAGGTTGGCAGCCTTCACTAAAGGCTGTCATTCCTCTAAAAGGAACGGAAATTGCCGGGGGCCCATCCCTTTGGCAATAATGGCCACAGTTGGTGACAGAGCAGAAACCTCCCTGATTCTTGGATTAGGGAAAAGTCTACCTTCTTCGTTTGCCAGTAGAACTCGTGACCTTCACATCCAAAGCCCCAAAGAGGAGGAGCTATATGACATGGCAGTCTAAACGCCAGACCACAGGACCAACCAGACAGACATGCCTCTCTGAGCCTTCGACCAGTGTGCATATTTGATGCTCGATTTGTTGGAACCTTTCATATCTGGTTAGAAGTGACACAGTGATCCTTTAAATTGTACACTGGGGCTCTGGAGAGATGACTCAGCAGTTATGACACCAGCTACCCTTGCAGAAGACCAAGGTTTGGATCCTAGCACCCATATATAAGCTCACAACCATCTACAATCAAGTTCCAGGGGATCCAACACCTTCTTCTGTCCTCTATGAGCACCAGGCACGCGTGTAAAACATTCATACACATAAGATAAAAATAAATCCCAAATAAAATAACTGCACACTCCATCATGCTACAGCTCTGGCTCCATACCACCCCAGTCTCCCACTCTTGATGATCTGGCCTGTGCCTTGCTTTCCATCTTGAAAGTTCTCACTCTTGATACTTGGGTCCAACCTTCTGTTTTCAGAGACTGCCTGACGAAGGTGTGGTCTTGGCCTTGCTCTTCCTAGTTTTGTGAGTATTGTGTGTATGTGTAAATGTATATGCATGTGTGTCTATGTGCAGGCAAATGTGGAGACCAGCAGTTAATGGAAGGAGCCTTCACTGGTCACCCTCCACTTTACTTTTTGAGAAGGCATCTCTCACTAACCTGGAGGTTACCAATTCTGCTAGACTGGCTGGCACCAATGCTCAGTGATCCCCCGTCTCTGCGGGGATTACAGTCATGTTGCTGCTCTATCTGGCTTCGTTAGAGGTTACGGGGAAATCCAAGCTCAGGTCCTCATGCTTTCAAACACTGAATGAGCTGTCTTCCTAGCTCCCCACACGTTCTGTACTGTTGAGACTTTACAGGGCAACAGGATAACAAATCTCCTTACCTCATGTGCTTTTTCTAACTCTTTAATGAGTTGCTATATATAAAGTGTTTGAAATAGTTCCTGACACAAGGAAGTACTCAATAAATATTGTTATTACTACAATTATTTTTATTTTATGAAGACTGTAGCTAATGGTGATTGTACTCTGATTACAACAATGTAACATGGCAAATCTGCTCTTTCCTCATTCTCTTTATTACTTATTTTGTCAACTTACTTTATACCAGGCAGTTCATCAAACACTAGAAAACATTGTTTTAAAACTCACTTTTAGCCTAAAAGAATAATATTAATAACATATTATTATTATTATTATTATTATTATTATTATTATTATTTTGTGGTGGTTTGAATAAGAATGGCCCCCATAGGCTCATATTTGAATGTTTAATTTCCAGTGGTAGACTTTTGGGAAGGATTGTGGCTGTCTGTGGTAGAGAAGTTGCATCACTTGGGGTGGGTTTTGAGGTTTCAAAAGCCCATGCCAGGCTCAATGTCTCTTTCTCTCTCTGCCTTAGGCTTGTGGAAAAAATGTAAGTCTTCAGCTAACAGTTCCATGCCTGTCTGCCTGATGTCATGCTCCTCACCATTATGACCATGGACTAAGCCCCTGAAGTCCCCAGCTCAATCCTTTCTTTTCACGAGTTGCCTGGGCCATGGTGTCTCTTCACTGCAATAGAACAGTGACTAAGGCAGACACTGACTCGAGCAGCTAGGACTTACCAAGCCCTTGTGATATGCAAGCACCATAGAAAAAGTAGCATGTGCTTTGTTACTTAGTCATCAGAGAGGTCCTGTGAGGTTGGGGCCATTGTTACTGTTAGCAGTCATGAGTTACTGACACGGATTAGGAAACTGGCCCTTGAGACATTAAATAACATGCCCAGATCACAAAGGGAACAAAGGATGAAGTAAGGACTGAAAACCCATGTCTGAGTCACTCAATTTCTCTCAACCCACACCATGTCACACGTAACAGGCCCATAGCATGATTCAGTGAATGAGAAGCCAGCAGTGGAGGAACCCAATGTGGTGACGGTTTGTCCCCAGCAGTTCCTGTTAGCTAAGTCCAAGGCCAATTGAGGCAGGCTACCCAATATCATCTATTTGTCCTCTTTTGTGTTCTGAAAGGAAGCCACACACAGCCAACAGAGTGGCATGAACAAGATGGCCGCCAAGGAGAAAAACGCTCTCCACATCCCAAAGCCTTTGCCACTATTCACCTGAGCTATTTCCAGGAGGAGGTAATAAACACATTCTGATTTATCTTAACTTTAATGTAACTAATGAAGTCTTTATCATTTAGTAAAAATAAATGAAAGTTTTTATTTCTATAATATCAAATTGACTTTTTAACTTTTGAAGAGAGTGTGTAAAATACTTCTTTCTTTTATCCCTGCTTGGGGAGCTGTAATTGCATTTTAACTGTGCTGTTACAAGAACCATTTTAACCTTGAATCGCAAATGTGCTGGCTGGAAGTGTATATAAATCATTT